CGACAGCATCAAAAGATATAAAAAAGATTCTTTCCCTAAAAAAAGTATTGCTTCAGGTAAATAAAGGTCTACACGATAAAGTACAATGCTTATTTCAATGACTGTTTCACCCCATTACAAAATATTGGAACTTTTTCTATAGCAGAAACACAGAAATGTTCAAGTAAAATTCAATGCTCATCTCAATGAACTGCAATTTAAAAAATACATATATATATGTATATAAATCTATCTATCTATATGGCATTATGCAAATAAATCCCAAATTATATCAGATAATATAGGTCACAGTTATGAGCCAATTGTTCAGTTCTGTTTACTGCTTATTAGGTGGGTAAAGCAGTAAATATCAAATCAAGTGATGAGTGTGTATATGTGTGCATGAATGAGTGCACATAGGTACTTCTGACCATAAGCTGGTGTCAGGTAGGTTTGATTTGAATATTATCACCTCCAGTATTTTTAGGAATGTTTTTCTTCTATCCCCATGAATATTCATTTTGGTTTTAATTAGTGTCTGATTTTTTAATGATGTAAAACATGGGCAAATAAAAATGATTGCAGTTGACCCCTTATTCTCCAATTTTCTCTTTGTCAATTCACATCCTACCTGTGTCACAAATTATACTTGCCCACCTTGTCAAACTTCTCTCCATAATCCAATTGAGAGGGATTCAAATTTGTAAAGGAGAGATTTAAATGGCAATAAACAAATGTGACAGATCAGAAACTCCCTCCCACATTAGGGCAGGTTTGTTCACTCTCTCAGGAATAGTTCAGGGCTCTATTCAATCAGCTGGATGACTTGTGCAACTAATGTCCATCATCTACAAACCCTGCTCATATAACTGGATGACTTTTCTGTCTTTCCAAGATTTTGTTAATATGAAAAAAGACATTTATATGCAATAAAATTCATTAAAGTTTGTACTATTTTCATGTGCAGTCAGCTCTCAGATACAGCAGAGTGCCCCTATTTCTACCTTTCACATGAAATTCCTATCCTGAGAATGTTATTGCTCTTGTGCTCTAGTTTCATGGTTACAACAGGGCTCCTGTTATATTTCTTTTAAAAAATTTTATGTGGAATTTTTCAGTTTTATCAGAATGAATAACATTCAAACAGTTTTATCATGTTCAATGTGCATAATTATAAAATTCTGCTTTAGTGTTTCCAATTTCATAAGAATAATACACAAAGCATGTTGTTGTTGTTGTTGTTATGTGTCATCTAGTAGGACCCGGCTCATAGCGACCCCTCCTTGGGTTTCCAAGGTAGTATCACTAAGGAAGTAGGTTGCCCACCCTTCCTTCCAAGGAGTGGCTAGCTAAAGATAATCAAAGGTCGTGGGATTATTTTTAATTCTCCAGATACATGTGTTTGTCTCCACTCTTTCAAGTTAAAAAGTGCTCAGTAAATTCTCTGAAATCTAGCGAATAAAAACTTTAGTTAAAAACATGCTCTTTGAACATGCAGGTAATTTCTGTATCATGGATATTTTTATTAGTTTGGAACATTTTGTACCCAAAATAATTTTGAAATAAATTTTTAATTGGCTCAACTTTTCTCCTGTGATGAATGCTGTCACATTTAGTGGACATTACTTTCATCAGAGTAATTTATGACAAGCTATGTTTAAGTTTCTCTTTACTTTGTCTTCCCTTCTTCCATCCCATCATCCCTCCTTTCTTCTCACCTTTCTTATTCCCTATTTCTCTTCTTTTCTTCTTTCAACATTCCTTGTAAACTGGCTTAAAAGACTAAGTTAAAAAAAAAAAAAGCAAGTACTAAACTAAACAAACAACAAGTGAAGCCACTTTATAGACTAATTAGCTGTTTCATTTACTGGGTCTCAGTTTCCTCCATTTTTAAATCAAACATTTTATCATTCTGTTAGTATTTTTATCTTGTCCCCCATCACACACACACATTACCACTTAGTACCAGTTTGAGCCAAATCAGTTCACAAATGCATCTTCTACTTTGAGATTTATTAAGAATGATATCATTTGGTTATTGAGAAAGGATTAGCCTAATGGATTAAAAAATTTGATTCCAAGATAGAACATTAATGGTACTTCTTAGACAGTAGTTGTGTCGCTAGGAAGATACACATATAGACAAATATCCTGGACTGCTTTATTTCTCTAGTTCCCCATTAAGACCTATGAAGAGCTTGTGCACCCATTTTCCCCACTACTTGTTGTGTTTTTCTTCCCCACTCCTCAGGTCTAAGGCAGACACAGCAGAAGAAGCCTTTTAATGTTTGTACACATAGAATTACATAAGACATAAACACACTGACATGTACATAACTGTGCATGTGTGCATTTTGTCTAACATGTTCATCATGTGAGCCAAGGCTATAAAAAGATGGCTGTCTAAAATCCAAACCGTTTTTTCTTGGCAAAAATGGAGATAATATATCCATATCTCTTTTATTTTGGTAGATAATTTGACCTCTAACAAATACCTGTTCCTGTGGACTTTGATATACTTTGGAGAAGAAACCACAGGTTTGAATTCCATACATAACACACAATGAAAAAGGAAAAGAATAATCAAGTATTTTCTTTTCTTTCTTTCTTTCTTTTTTTTGATTGCACATTAATCTACAGTGACTTCTCTTTAAAATATATATGCTTTTTTTTTTTTTTTTTTTCATGCCTAACCACAAAGTGAATGGTGCCCAAAACATGGGCATATTTTCTTGGCAAAATCATTGAAAGTTTGTGTGTATGGGGTCTCACTGTCTTGACTTTCAGAACTTTGAAGGAGGTTATTTATGGCTATTTTGCAAAATAAGCATATTGATTTCTTTCTCCATTGGCCATCAATGTAGAAGGATGAAGAATAAGATGGAAGCAGAAGTGGCAAAGACAAGCAGACTACAGATGCAAGGATGGCACCAAACAGCAACCAAGCTTGGGGAAATCATGAGAGGCCAAGAGCAGATCCCAAATTACACGATCGATATACAGCAAACCTGTATGATGCATTTAACTTAGAATTATTATTAAGTTGTAAAACATTCCTCTAAAAGAAGCCTTCTCCCATGCAAGGACTTATGACTATTGCCAATAAGATTCAAAGAAGGAAACAGGCTTCTTGATGGTGTTCTCAGTCTCAAACACCTTTACAAATGCCAGCAGCGCAAATGATAAAAGCCAAAGATGGTGTGGGCTACATCTAAATGAGGAAAAGACAATGGGAATGAAACTCTGGAGGCAGTGATCACTAACAATGGATACTAAGAGGATGATGGAAAGCAACTCTGCTGTTAAACCATTGTCCAGAATGAGGTTGTGGAGTCTGAGATCCACAAAGACACTTTGTGCATCCGTGTAAATAAATAAGATTTGGAAAATAACAAATGAAAGCACACAAGGCAAGCTGAACAAAAAAGCACTCAGTTCCACAGTTGCTGTGTACAGATGAACATGAAAGCTGAATGGTATGGAAAACTATATCATCGCGGCTGAAGATAAGAAAGAAAGCAAGGGAGATGCAATGTTTTGATGAATTCTTGGCCGAGAGACTGTCTGGTAATCACCAGCTTGTCAGAGAGGACACACTGCAAGACAGATTACTTTTGGTTATTGAAGAATGTTGAAGCGGAATCATTTTGGAAATGGAAAGAGGTGGCTGGACTGTGGGAAGAGGCACAAAATAGCCAATTTATTGGATTCTAGGAGGGACTGCATGGAGCAGGCTTTCCAGATGACACCTCCATGCAAGCCCAATCAGCTCT